ACTCTGGAGCTACATCAGAAACACTTTCCCACCATTCTACAATATCATTAAATTGTTTAAATGTTTCATTACAAAATGGATATTTTTGTTTTTTAAATTTTTCAAGTTCTTGAAGAATAGTTGTTGAATCTTTTTTAAACCAAGATTTGTAATAATATGTTAACCAACGACCAATATGTGAATATGTTAAGTTTTTAATAGTAGATGAAAACATTTCTAATCGATAATTTGGATGAAGAGCTAAAGAAAGTATTAATAATGGTTGTTCCCAGTCAGCCCAACGTAATTCAAGATGTTTAACCATTCGATTACGAAAATAAATTGGTGTTTGTTGTTTCATTATATTCATAATATAACCAAAAGAGAGTGTTACTTGATAAAGACGTGCCTTGTCTTGTTGCATAATATTTAAAATTTCACAATAAGGATGTAAAAGGGTTGTAAGTTTTTCTAAATTTGTCCAAAAAGCAATATTATTAATAAAAGTAGAAATATCGGATGGTAAACGAAGTTCTTCTTCATTAGCATGAAAATTAACTGTTACTAATGTCTAAAAAATATTTATAAATTAATAAATTATTTTAAAAATAAAAAATATTAATAAATAAATGATAACCTACGATAAGTGCATCTTTTGTCTTTAAAAGAGAATTAAAAGCATTAAAATAACTATTCCAACGTGTTGAACATGGGCTTGTAAGAGCAATAAATTTTTATAAAGCTTTAATTGTTCATCGTGAAGCTTTTGAGTAAAATAAACTGATAAATGAAAAATGCTAATAAGTCGGGTGACGCAATTAGAAGTAGTTTTAAATATTTGAGATTCTTTATAAATTTCTCCAACACAACAATTAACTTGATGTGCAAAACATGGTAAAAATACTATTTCGCGATGAATAAGTTTTATTTGACGTCTATTAATAAATAACATTTAATTAAAATTTATAAAAAAAATTAATTTTGTTTTAATAAAAAATTTATAAAATACCTAGCAGATGCATAACCTCCAGCAGAATCTGTCACTAATGCATTTATTTGAATATTTTGTGATATTGCTTTTTCAATAAGTAATTCTATTTATTTAATTACTTCTTCTGCGCATTGACATTCTCCACTTATATTTTCTGCATCCTATACAAGAACAGAGCCATTTTAAGTAATTAAAACAACACCCATAGTCTCTTGTTCTACTACATTTTTCCAACCATCAAAAGTTATAGTTACTCCAATTTTATCATTTGAAGTAAGACTTTATATGTTTGATTAAACATCATTAGTTGTTGCATTTAAAATCTGACCAGCAAGAGTACGACGATCAGGTAATACTAAAAGAGGTGAAATAAACTTAAAAAGATCCCAGGTTTCATAATTATCAATCCAACGAAAAGGAAATCCATTAGATACAGTCATATGAATTAATTTTTTTCAAACATAGGAATTTCTGCTGTAGTTAACGGTCTTCCAACATATTGTGTAATTTGGGTTTAGTTATATTGTAATTTTTTAGCTGACAATATATTTTTTTCATTTAGAATTTCGGATTCGTCATTAATTTCTAATTAAAATAAATAAATAAATTAATTTAATTTATTTAATACTAATTAAATAAAATTTTAAATTAAAATTACCAATAAATTGCCGTTTCTTAGTTGTTGTTGTTGTATTTAATTTTGATAATGCTAAAATTCTATTAACTTCGTTTAGTCCATGTTCAGTCATAAAATTTTGACAAGTTTGAAGATGTTTGTAACAATAACGTTGAATATTTGTAATTTTATTATTTTCATCTTTTAATAAGAAGTCTCGTCTTACATATCTAATACAAGATAAACAAAGAGCTTTCTTATTATTTTTATTTGCTTTTTCATTGTGAAGTACTTCAAACCATGGAGTTAATGGATGCAGCGCTTTTCCTCCTGCATGTGTCATTATGAGATTTTATTGATAATCATGCGATTTTGGATCCTTTTATATTCTAACTCTTTCCATTTAAGTTTAATCGAGATTTGTAATACATCAATCACAACAGATATAATGGATAATGTAATGGACACAATGAAAAAGTGTCCATTATCGATTGTTATATCAATGGATATGTCCATTGCCAACACTGGTAGATCCATTATATTGTGAAATTCATTATATCAAAATTCGCTATAAAAAGAGTTGACTGTATGTATATTATTATATTAATAAAATTGTTCACTATAGTTTTGTTGAGTTGAAGGTAAAAAAATAGAATTTATAGTTAGAACTCTTGAATTTTGAATATGTGCAAAAAAACTTTGATTAAATTAATATACCTTTTTTAGAAACTGTATATTTTAATTGATGTAAAGTGGTAAAGAAGTTTCATTATATTTAAAAGATAATAAAGTATTATATTCTTTATTTTTATTTGATTTAGAATTTGAAGTTTTGTGGTTTTCGTGATTTTCTTTATTTTTATTGTCTATTTATTTATATATATATTAATTAAGAATATTTAGAAAAAATTTCTTTCACAAAATTGAGATGATATGATCATGATAGATTTTATCAACTTATTACATTTGATTAGATTTGTTTAGCGGAATAGTGATATATCTAAAAAATTGCAGTTCCGTTATTCCTGATTCTGATTCTCTCAAATAATCAATCAAAATTCAATAAATATTTTGACTAATAGAAAAGGATCAGACACAGGTTAGAAATAAATAGGATTAAAAAAAACTGGAATCAGAAATTTTTACAATTATTTGTAAATTGGAATAAAATGTATTTATGGAGTCATGAAAATTGATTTAGTAAAAATGATTTAATATTTTTTGAAGTATGATTTAATATTATAATAATAATTATTATTTAATTATTTATTTATTAATATTAATTTTTTTTTAAAAATCTTTTAATATATGGTCAACTCATTTGTCAAAACTTTTGCATCATATTCAAAATCTAAATTACACTTTCTAAACTTCATTGATGGTGATATCATATAATTGAAGCAATTTATGAATTTAGTATAATAAATGGTTTTACCACAGAAATATTTGAATCTTTATATAAATAATATGTTAAAAATTTATATTGTGCTTCAAATAAATATAATATAAATTAGAAATGCTTAAAATAGTAATTAATTTATTATTAATATTTATTTATTTAATTTAATATATTTAGGTTTTATAACAACAAACATTTTGTGAATCTTTTGATAAATTTATTCAAAAATTATAATAAAATAATAATTTATATTTTAACATGTAATTATTAATTTTCAATTAAAAAATATTAACTTAATAATTCAATCTTTCAAAATTTAAAATCTTCAACATATTTTCTAATAGGATTAAAGTATTTATATAATGCTTTAAATAATTATTTTCAAATTAGTGATAATATAGATCATAAAAATATTGATTTATTTTATATAAAAATTTCAATTTATTGTTCAGCAAAATTTAAAAATGGAGAATTTATTCATATTACACATAAACTGATAAAACTTTTTTAAATATTGCAATTCAAACCAGTGATAATGAAACAGATCAATATTTAACAAATAATAAACTTTGTTATACTAAGGTAAATATTAATATTATTATTTATTTAAAAAATATTTATTTATATTTTATAAATTTAGGTGTTACTTTTGCTTAAAGTTTGGATTTTAATCAAAGTATCTCCTTTATAACTTCTTATGATTCATTAGTATAATTTTAAAATTCAAATAAATAATCAAACATTATATCATTTTTGTACATATTTAAAAATGGTTGATTTTTATAATATTATTCCTATTGAAGCAGTTGAAAAACTAGTGTATATAATTCCAAGCTTTGCAAATAAAAATACATTTTATGTTAATAGATTTATAAATTAAATTTATTTATTTAAATATAATTTTTGTAACTATATAGTAGTTAAATAAAGATTTTTAAATTTTTATTATAAAATTGTTATTTTTAAATTTAGTAAATAAATAATATATTGATAATATTTTTAAAAATATAATATTGGTAATATATTTTGATTATTAAATGTTTAATATATAATATTATTTTATTTTATTAATTGTATAACTAAATTTAAAAAATATAATTGTAAAATATTTATATAATATTATATATATTATTTATATAACTATATTTTTATAATTAAGTATTATGTTAGATATTTTCTAAATGCGAAATATTTTTATAATTCTTTATAAATTATTTATATAAGTATATTTTTTATGCTTAAGTATTTTAACATTAATAAATTTCATATAATATTTTATAGAAATTTTATAGAAAAGTTCAAATTATATAAAATATTACATCAATTTTTTAATGATATTTTATTTTATAAATCTTTATATAAAAATTATATATATATATAATATACAGTATTATTTATATATTACTAGAAAATACACATAATATATTATATTAAATTAATGCGTTCTATAAAAATTACGTAAATATTACATTTTTCAGTTTTCCTGATGGTATTCATATATAAAGATATTTTTAAGCTTTCTAGCGTAGCGTAGTAAATCGTAAATCTTTGGTTTTCTTAATAAGTTATTTCAACTTGATAAATTCTTGCAAAATAAGCAAGCATGGTTAAAATTATTTGATTGTTAATCTTGCTAATCTATATGCAGCTTTAATTTTGGAAGTATAAATAAATATACTGCAGTTCTTTGACCCATATACTACGGAAATCTGCTGTGAATGATTAAAAAAAGTAAACTTCGTGCCAAAATAAGAGACGTCGCTAATAAAATATGTGATTTCATAAATATACCAAAGGTTTATAGTTTAAAGCTCAGAATTTTTTATTCATGTAATATATAATAATGTTTTCATCTATTCATATAATAAATCGCGTCAGAAGTATTGAATGTTTGAATATTCAATCGTATTAAAGCACTTTAAGAAATATCATAATAAATCAATCGGTTCAATGAAAAGTTATATGATTCTAATGTGACTCTAGCCGAATATCCTTATTTTATTTGCGGTTCCAAGAAATTTCGACATTATATTTGCAAAATCCTTGAAATTAAAAATATCATTATTTGGTCGTATATTATTAAATTCCCCTGATAAACATTACATTGTTGTCTTGGATTTGGCTAGTTTCGAAATCAACATTATTATAGATTGATCGGCCAAAATGCCTTTCTAGCAAAATTTCGCCTACCGATAGTACCGATAGATTGTTTTTCTTTTCATTTGGCTCTTTCAATTAGTATATATTCTAGGGATTATTTAATTTTGAATTAGTATTTTGTGATGATTTGATTTATTAATAAACGGATTCGATCACCGCTGTTGAAGAAACTATTAATTTTACATTATGCTTACAAATATTAAATATTTCTGCATACCATACTTTATTTTATTATTTACTAACGAATTCCTAACTCATCAAGTTAACAACGAGTTAATCCAAATTAATTTCCAGTGCACATAAAAAAACGTTGTGCCTCATATTTATTTGAATCAATACAATACAATATGCGATTAATAATCAAATAAAATTACGACATAATATTGTCATTATTTTATTTGCTTTTATAGTGATGCCGATCAGTTGAATTTTCCCGGAAAATTTTAACCGCATTGATGATCGGCACAACGCATACACATGAAACATCGCAGGAGTTCATGATTTTTATACAAATAAACTAAATAAAGGTTCTAATCAATTTAATGCATACACATATTACCAAATAAGGGATTATAATAAGAAAGAAAGTATGTTATATATCGCATTAAAATTTAAAAATTTAAATTAAATTGAAATTATGAGTTGCAAAATGTATAATTTGCTTATCTTTTTCATCTTAAGCTATTTGATCTTAAGAACCGATTCACTTACTCCCGCAGGACGTATTGCTCATTCCTCAGTAATTTTTAAAAATATGATTTATATTTTTGGTGGTTATGATGGTCATTCTTGCACAAATCAAGTACTCCATCTTGATATATTACAACATTTTAATGCGGAGCTTCCGATATGGTCCCAAAATTCGGCTATTGGTTTCGAAAGTTGTTGGGCAACTACAGTACTAATTAATCATAATAATAACCCGACCATTTATCTAGTTGGAGGATTAATGCAAGATCCAAATCATGAAGATTCATTTACTTCAATGATATATACACTAAATCTAAATTCGGGACAATGGAATATACCTGTAACAAGTGGAATAGTACCGGAAAGACGTAGAGATATTCAAGCGGTCGCTGATCATATGGGAAATGTTTATATTTTTGGTGGAGCAGCTGATAGATCTGTGGGATCAGAAGATACTAAATTTTTTAATGATATGGTAATATTCAATGCTGATTATTTAACATGGTCAAATGGTCCTATTGTCAATGCGCCTTTAAAACGGCATGCTTATACCGCAACTTTATTATCAAGTGGCATAATTGTATACATTGGTGGTCGTGAACAAACAGATGATGGAAATCTACGTGAAGTAGATATTAATCAAATTAATCTTTATGATACAAAGTTAGGATCTTGGTCGGTAGTGGTATGTATTGTAATTTCTTTGATAAAATTTTTATAAATATATATTAATTACTGTTAATTTATGAAGCAAGCGAAAAGCAAGTACAAAATTGATTCTCGTAGATCACATTCTGCAGTTCTAGGTATATTTTAAAAGAAATTACTTTATTTATTTAATATTCTTACTTACATTTTACATTTATTAAAAAGCTCCCGATGAAAATATCATTATTTATGGCGGGGCAATGAATTCTGATTTTGTGAAAGTTACCCCAGATTTGGCAGTTCTAAATACACAGACAACTCCATTTGAATGGAATGTGCCGCAAATTACATCAAATGTTGGTCAAGTCCCATCGCTTGTAGCTCATACCGCGAACTTATACGAAAATTATATGTTTGTTGCTTTTGGTAAGCAATTTTGTACATAAATAAAATTTAAACTTTGTCTTAAAGTTTGTAGTCTTAATAAAACTTTAATTTATTTAGGCAATATTACTCAATCAAATGCTCCTCCAATAATTAATACAAATTCAAGAATTTATATGTTGGACATTAATAAATTTACTTGGGTTAATCACTTTGAAACAGGATATACATCTACCGATGAATCACCACCAAATCCTACTATGTCATCAACTATGACAACTATGAATACTTCAGAAGATCATTCAGAACATTTAATGCAAATTAGCCAAATGAAAATTATAATTTCTACAGTTTGTGGTATTTTTGGGATCACGATATTTTTAGTAATTGGAATTTTTAGTTATAAATTTTATCATAAAAGAGAATTACGTAAAATCGTTAGAATTGCCGGTAATACTACTATATAAGAGTAAAGCTAGACTTTTTTTTAATTATTAATGTGTTTTTACAAGTTCAATTATTTTCAGAAGAATTCTGATAGAATATTAGTAAAAAAATTTAAATAAACAAATTATAAATTAATAATGTTCATACCATTGGTGGGTTTGGCAAAGATCTTCTCGAATAATAATCCCGAACCAGATGGACAATCCACTTACTTTCGATAGGATAATTGTATGATTTCGCAATTTTCATCCATTTTTATATAGTTGGCAAGATTTTTTTTGCTAGATTTTAAATGTAAATAATTTAATAAACTCAAATAAACGATAAAATCGTGATAAATTTCTTAAAATATAAATATTTTTAATATTTCTTAAATTCAAAGAGGCGCAGTAATAATTATATTCGGGATTATGATCATTAGGATTGTTATCGGGACTATCGGGATTCTAGACCGTCAGCATATTATGATTGACGGAATTTTTGGGGGAAAACAATTTTTAGAGATGGTAAAGGCATCTGGGCTGATTTTTCAATCATTTTTTTTTTAAAAAATTTCGGGTTAGGACGTTTCGGATCATACAATTTAATATATACTTTTTTTTGATTTGTGTCCTTTCTTTTTCTATATGTTAATCTCAGTTGGATCAATTCTGTAAGTATTAGGTTATTTTATTTTTTATTTTCGGTTCGTTGGTTTTCTACTATGATGAAGATAGATGATTTGATTTTTCCAATATGATAGGTAGATTTTTTTTCTTCCTTTCCATATTTTATTTTTCATACATTTTTTATTTTTTGGCAATATCATTCAGGTTGGATCACAATTATTTATTTTTTTATTTTTAGACGGTTATTTTATACATTTAAATTAAACGAAAATCGATAATTTTCGTAACGTTAATAATTATTCTATCGTCAGTTGTGAAACTCAATTTGATTTTTGGTAAACCAATTTCAAATAGGAGTTAACTATATTAGGAAGTTGTGTGTGAAAAGGGCTGAGTAAAAGGACGATTTTTATTGGTAATCATCTATGCAAGAAATATAAATAAAAGCTTAAAAAAAAACAAACATCATCATCATCCATCTGAACGAGCTAATAAAAAAAAATGGTTTTAAAAAACAATCTAGAAAAAACTCTAAATAGCTTTGAAATGAGAATTAAAGAGTTAGAGCAAAGTAACGAAAGGTTACGTTCACAACTCAAATATTTAGAAGAAAAGGTTAGAGAGCGAGAGGAAGAAACAAAAGCCAATCAAAAAGTTATTAATAATTATGAAGAAAAATGTGGAGTATCCGAGGAAAAGCAGGAAATTATTAATGAATTAGAAAATAGAATCAGACATCTTGAATTAATAATTTTTGATGATACTATTGATAGTTTAACTATTACAGCTACCAATAAGGATGAAATATTAAACATCTCAGGAGGATTGCAAAAATATCGAAAATTGTCAAAATTCAATTGCACCATTTATCAAATAACTAGCTTACCAATATTACCCAACTCCTTAACGGAACTTAATTGCAGAAATACTCAAATAACCAGCTTACCAACTTTACCCAATTCATTAATGAAACTCACTTGCCCTTATACAAAATTAACAAGCTTACCAGATTTACCAAACTCCTTAAAGGAGCTCAATTGCTATAATACTCAAATAACCAGTTTACCAACTTTACCCATCACTTTAATGAAGCTCAGTTGCCCTTATACTCAAATAACCGGCTTACCAACTTTACCAAACTCCTTAACGTATCTAAGTTGCTATAATACCAAAATAACCAGCCTACCAACATTACCCAACTCCTTAACGGAACTCTATTGCTCTTATAATCAAATAACCAGCTTACCAACTTTACCCAACTCTTTATCAACTCTCGAATGTCATAATACTAAAATAGCCATCTTACCAACTTTACCCAACTCTTTAATGGAACTTCATTGTTATAATACTCCAATTACCAGCTTACCAAATTTACCCGATTCCTTAAAGTTTATCAACCCTAAATATTTAAAAATTAATAATATCAGTAATGTAGAAAAAATAAGTATAGGAGATTGATAAAGTTACTAAATCAAACTGGAAAAATTTCATATTTAGTATAATTTAGTGCTAGTCTAAAATATGTTCAATATTCTATAATAAATGAATACGAAAACTTAAATTTATGTTTATGTATTCCTTTTATTTTCATAAAAAAAGTTCGTTTTTATTAAAATTATACGATTTATTGTTTGTAATGCGACCGATAAATAATAATAAAAAAATAAAAATAAAAAATACCGCGTTCTTAGGATCTTGATTATTAATATAAACAAAAATTTAAACAAAAATCGAAATAAATAACCATTTGATCGCTACGATCCGAAGCCATCAAATTAATAAGTAATAAAATGAATCTGAAATTAAAAGTAGAAAAAAAATAATTACAAATAAATACATAGATTATTAACGTAAATAAAATATTTTTTTTAAAAAAAATTTCTAAATTGCTACATCAATATCATTTTAATATATATTAGAATCTGCTTTTAAAGAATTTGATGCCGAATTAGATACTAATTATCAAAATATGCAGAATCTCTGTGAAATGTAAGTTTATTGTAAATAAAATCGATTTATTTAATCGATTCCTAAAACTCTTATAGTTCTTGATAATAAATATGTTATAGTGATATTTGATCCATTTTTTAGCTTTAATGTTAGAAGACAGTTAAAAGTAATGAATGTTATTAATTCAGAACGCAATATTTATTAATTCAATAAAAAAAGGAGATATCAAGAAGAAATTTAAATTTATTTCATTAAAATTTATAAAATGAAACAATTTTCCAGCTAATAAAAATAAACATTTCAAGCTAAACGTTATCTACATAATCAGTTTCATTCACATCCGGCACAACTCCAATATTCTCAAATTTTAAGCAATCCATATATTTCTCATCCAACTCCCTAATTTCACAATTAGGGTTGATTGCTATCGCATTAAGATTTTTCCCATTTTCATAAGTAGCGGTATTTTCTGTCCCGTTAATACTTTCATCAACGGATGCATGAAGCTTAATGAAATCATATGCTCTATTCAGCGCGAACTGGCTAATTTTTTCAAAAGGAATAACCTAAATTTATGTAATCATCAAATTATAAGAAATTTTAACATAATCAGAAAAAAATGTACAAGTAATTATGAAATTATTTGATTAGAATAAACTTACGAAAAAGCAGTGGCAAGCATCGTCATAGACCTCAAGTGTGACTTTTGTTGGCTTCTTGAATGGAGATTTATCAAAATTCTCCGTAGAGTATTTGGGCAATTGATATTTGCTTGGATCAGAAGCTTTAAAACCAAATAGAACTACGGAATCCCGAAACCTTTCTCCACCACCAACTTGCTATTATCGTCGTGTAAATATTAATATGTGTTAGAAGCAATTCCTTATTTTATGTATGAAATGAAATGATATTGACAGGAATAAAAGTTGTAAAAAAGTGCTTATAATTGAATAACCTACACATAAAATGGGTGGCAAATTTCCTAAACTTTCAGCCAACATTGGACTGATATAAGGAATGGCCAAGGCCTCATTTGCGCAGTAAAGCCTAATTCTTGGAATTTTGGTAAAAGAATGGTGACCAACCACATTCGGCTTTTTTTGCTTAATTTTTTCTGATAGAGTTTTGACGTCTTTAAGATACTCAACTGACATGGGGCATGGTGGACCAAGAGGAGGCAAGCATAACCTGCCCTCAATAATATCTGATTTATCCATTTCAGGTTCCCAGTTTGAAGGCATGCTGCTTGTCAAATCCACCCATGGTGACTTAGCGAATTCATCATTAAAAAAGAGAGAAATTTGTCATTGAAGTCGTGTACAAAAAAATAAATAGCTATAATATATTTATAAAATTGACACATACAAATAAAACAATTCCTGATGGCAATGATAAACCAACATCACGAAGGAACATCGCGGCACTAACAGCCAATCCACCACCAGCACTAACTCCAACAAACACAATTCGTTTTGGATCAATTGGTTCGAATCCAGCTTCCGGGCCAGGGTTAGTAAGATAAAAATACGCTGCTAGAGCGTCGCAAAGTGGTGCAGGAAATTGATTTTGCGGTGATAGGCGATAGTCGATTGCTAATTACCAAATATAATCTTGTTTAGTATTTGCTGAATTAATGAATTGCGATCGAAATAGTGCATGAATTAATTCTTACCAAAAACTTGACAATCGGCATTTTCGGCGATCAAGCAAGTATGAGAACGAGCTATTTTACAGGACCCCGAAAAATATCCACCACCAAAAAAGTAAAGCGCCACCCTTCCTGTATTCTTGATTTTTCCGAGATTTCTTCCATCACCATCTCCTTCATCCTTAACTCTAATCCACTCTCCGCATAACCCACCCTCATTCAAATCTTTCCACTTCTCATCCACTACGTCCTCGTACCTTTTCAAATTATCCTCCAAATATTCCTTGCTTTTGATCCTATATCTATCATCCAACTTTACCTCATTTACGATAAGGTTATCAGGAATTGGTACTGCCATTTCATCCATTTGATGCTTTGCTTCTTCTATGGTTTTATTAGAATCATAAAATTTATTTTTAAAGAATTCTAAAGTCTCATAATATTGTGGCGATAATGATTGGGACATCTTTGATTTTCGATGATTGATAAAAAACTTTACGAATTCTGTGATAGGAAAATTTGTTGCATATTTAAAGAGATTTTATGTTGATTGATAAATGAAATGCAATGATATGATTTAAATATGATAAACATAATAATTCGATTTAATCAATGAGATTTCTATATGTGTGACAAAGATCTACAAACACTATTGATTAAATGATATTTTTTTAAAAATCAATTAAAAAGAAAAATATGAAAGGTAATAGATTTCTTTAGTTGGAATCGGTATTACAATCTTTAACTGTTAATCATAAATAAATATTCGTTACCAGTTGCTTAATCCAGCATTATAAATAGGCCATAGTAGTAATCCTAAGAATCTCAATTCTGGCCGAAAGCTTCAATTCGTCCGAAGTTAATTTAGCTATTCTTTATACATAAAAATATTATTTATTGGTATTATAAACAATTATTTAAAATATTTTGTTCGGTGCTAGGATATCGGATATCACAGGTTTGGGGGGTTCCAGATAGAATTATGATAAATTATCCGTGCTACAAGCTAAAATGATGCGTCGTACAAATATAATATTTAAAAAAGTATTTTGATTATATGGTTATTGTCAATTAATTAATTAGTTTTATTTATAATAATTGTTTTCTTTTTACTTGTTTTATTAGAATCAGTATAATACTTGCAATGTAATTGTACATTAATTATGAAGCCTTTTATTCTGATAATAAATTAAAAATTTTTATAAAATCAATTCATATCTGCTAATTCTTAAAATATAATAAAGCTTTACACTGGTCGAAATGATACAATTCGGCATTATGGCCAAATTGTAATAAATTTGGTTTAATTCCTATTGGCACAATTTGACGCCAATAGGAACAATCAGATACAATTCAAACACAATTCGACCTAAGAATCAATCTAAATTCAGCCAAAAATCAAATTAATTCAACCACTTAAAATCAACCACAATTTGGAAACAATACAACAACCTAAAATCAACCACTATTCAGACACAATTCAGATATATTTCAGATACAATTCAGCCTTAATTTGAACACAATTTACATTTCAATTTATTCAATTTATATTTTTATATTTCATAATGATTTTATTCAATAATTTTAAGCAAATAAGCAAATAAAAAATTATCTAATCCTATCCTCCCAATTTTTAAAAAATTAAAAATAAAAAAGCCAAAAGCAAAAAAGCAAATTGTTCCACCTGTTCTCAAAAAAAAAATATACAATTCAAATCATCATTATCATTGTAGTCATTCAATTACCTTCCAATTTTTAAATTAAACTAAACTAAAAGCAAATAAGCAAAAAAAAAGAAAAATTATTATCTCACCCATCCTTCCAATTTTTTTAAAAAAAATACATAAAGAAAAAGAGCAAATAAGCAAAAAATAAATTATCCTATCTGTTTTTCTAATTATTAAAAAATAATAAAATAAAAATAAAATAAAAAAATGCAAAAAAATACAAATAGAAAAAACTTAAATGTCATCCAGTTTAAAATATAACCCTATAAGAAATTTATATATAGAATTGTATACGGTAATAATACATTTTAATATTCGTAAAAAATGTATAAAATATACTGAAATTATGTATAATATGTATGTAATTATTATGTATACAAAATAAGGAAATTGTCAAAATTACGAATATATAAAATTTGTAAATTACATATATTGTATAAGCTATTTCAGTACATTAGATACGTTTTATCTGTAAATATTATACGTTATTTTAGTACATTATATACGTTATTTTCAGTACATTTGATACTCTAGATTTCAGTACATTTGATACGCTATATTTCAGTACATTAGATACGCTATATTTTAGTGTATTAGATACGCTATATTTCAGTATATTTAATACGTTATTTTTTAATACATTAGATACGCTATATTTTAGTACATTTGATAAGCTATTTTTCAGTACATTAGATACGTTATTTTATAATTTTATATTTATTATATACATTTTATTTATTTATTATATATTATAAAATATTTATTATTTTATTTATATATAAAATTATTATAAAAAAAATAAAAGAAAATTAATTATAAAATGTATTTATTCTTTATTAATTTGATATCAAATTTTAAGTATTTAAATTGTTTAATTAAAAAAAATGTATATTTAATAATTTTATATTATAATAATTATATTAAATAAATAATTAAATATTTACCTTCGTTCGTTACTTTCAAATAAAATTTATCCATTCTTGCTTTCTTGAAATAGTTATTAATTTGTAATTTCTTTCCTTTAATATTATAATTATAATATTTCATTTATATTAATTTTTATTAGAATTTTTTAGTCATAATTCTTACCACTTTTTGATGATGTTGCTATTACGACTGCTACTAACTCTTTTTCCTTTTCCTTTCCCTTTGCCGCTCTCTTTTTTTAGTATATTTTCTAATGTAATTAAAGTCATTTTTGCTGCAGTTAATTCATCTTTAGCTTCTTTCGCATTTGTTTCATTCTCATTTTTTTCAGCAGCAACAACAATAGCTGCAGACTTTGCAATTGCAACACTTGCAATTATTATTTCTTCTTGTTCTTCTGGTTCTTTTAAATCTTTATTTTTATTTTTTTTATTATTTTTTTTATTATTAATATCAGTGTTCAGAAATGACCTGGTCATTTGACCATTTAAATGATTTGTCTATTCCTTTGTCATAATCATAAATCATTTAGCATTTGTC